AAGGAAAACGAATCCTGAGAGTTTACCAGACGAATGGCCTGGGGAACAAAGCTGTTACGGAATCTGGTAGTCCTGCTAGAAATACTTTGAAACCTCCTCCAAGAGAACCAGAAGCGGATATGTGGTGCTTCCAAATTCCACCATGCTTTCTCTTGCTGAAAAGTCCTTCTAAGTGTAATTGAATTACTGTTGACATCTTTTTCTGTTTTGCAGACAGGATATGAAGCCCTTTGGAGTGACAGTGTCCTGTATTCAACCTGGCTTGTTCAAAACACAACTCTCTGATAGAGTCCGGCTCATAAAAGAAAAAGTGGCCATTTGGAATTCCCTTCCTCCCACCATCCAACGGCAGTATGGTGAACATTACCTCAAGGAAGGTAAGCTAGGAAAGGATTTCAAGGCCCTAAAGAAACTCTGTCAGATTTCAGGGGAATCTGATATATCTTTGTTCAGCAGGTGTCTTTGATGTAGTGACCATTTAAATGCCCTCTTTCCATTTTATCCATGGGGAGATTCCTTAGGTTTCCTTTTAGCCTCAAAAAACACTATCCTAACATTTCCCTTTGTTTGATGGTTAACTCAGCACCAAGTTCCAGAGCCCCACAATCCACATTCATGGAGGGAGCAGTAGCAGGCTCATCACTAGGTTGAGGCTACTCATGGCAAGCTATTTTTATTTTAAAAATGGCTTACATTTTGAACAGCAGGCTGGCCATGTAGCAATAGCAATAGCCCTTAGTCTTATATACCACTTCACAATGCTTTACAGCCTTCTCTAAGCAGTTTACAGAGTCAGCCTATTGCCCCCAACAATCTGGGTCCTCATTTTACCCACCTCGGAAGGATAGAAGGCTGAGTCAACCTTCAGCCTAGTGAGATTTGAACTGCCAAACTGCAGGCAGCTGTCAGTCAGCGGAAGTAGCCTGCAGTACTGCAATATCACCACTGTGCCATCATGTAGATAGTTATCGCCACAGGTCCCCTTCTGTATTTTTCTAAAGCAGTCTCTTTCAGCTTTCTTAGAGAATTGAGGACTTCAGCTCCATAAATTCCAGGCTTCAAAATTATCTAGATTGGGAGTGGGGAATTATGGCCTCTTTATGACTTGTAGACTTTATGGCTGGCTCGGGAATTCTGGGAGTTGAAGTCCAAAGTCATAAAAGGGCCAATAGTTCCCCACCCCTTATCTAGATACTCACTGCCTTTCCTTAACTGCCAGTAAGGCCGCTTCTACAGTATTGTCATCTATCACCATTGCCTCAGTATAACCCCTATTTTTATTATTGTAGTACAATAATACAGCACAACTGTAGTTGGAAGCTGGCAGAACATGCTATAAATCACTAGTGATGGCCCTGCCTAAATACGGCATCTGTCATTTTGCTCAGCTGCAAGGAATGTGCCAATTTGTGTATGTGTGTATGAAGTGTAAAAATTATCTCTCTCCCTCTTGCCCAATCAGGCTATCAGTATTTGTAGATTAAGAGGACAAAAACGTGTGTTAATCTGTCAGATCTTGTTAGCTCTATTAGTACTGCATGTATCTGTATGTACTTAATGCCACAATCCAATGCGATTTCCCTTTACGGCTTTATATGTTAGAGAATCATAACCAGTGGTGGGTTCCTACTGGTTCAGACTGGTTTGGCTGAACCGGTAGTGGCTTGGCGGCTGGGTCACTGGAACTGGCAGCAAACCAGGCCTGCAATGCCCCCGAACTGGTTGTCTGGGCGGTGCCATAGGCACTGCCCTCTGGGTTTTTGTTTCTGCGCATGCGCAGAACAATTTTTATTGCACTTTGCATGTGTGCACTGCGCACATCAAGCATGCATGTGAAGCGCGTGCACACAAGCGAACCAGCAGTAGTGCCTGCCGGAACCCACCTCTCATCATAACCAAACTATTTAATCAAGAGTCTTGAATCCTGTTACTGAAAATATTCTCCTCTCCCTTTTCTTCTTTCCCTAGACGCAATCAAGAAAGACAAATTAGCCAACATGTGCGAAAATACAGACCTGTCGCTGGTTGTGAGGTGCATGGAGCATGCCTTAATGAGCAAACATCCAAAGGCTTATTACAGCGTGGGCACAGATGCTAAATTCCTTTGGATTCCTCTCTCCAAGATGCCCACCTTTTTCCAGGACTACATGCTCATGAAGAACAAAGTTAAACTACTTAACCCAAACTCAGAATAAGATTTCCTCCTTTGTCCTTGGCGTTTCCAAGGGAACACCCCAACCTGTTGGCTCAGGACAAGAACTGACTACACAGTGACCATGGTTGGTTACCCATTTCGAAGTACCAATTCACGTACAGGCTTCAAAAGCTGTGCTGGCTTAAATAATGAAGATAAATACTCCAATGTTCAGGCAAACACGCATCCAGGAGTGTGGGTGATCCCATTTCTTGCTGACATTAAGACCGTAATAGGGTCTGTATTGTCTGATAGTTGTTAAGGCTGAACTAGCATCTGCTGACAAAATTACATCTTTAGGCAATCGATCAGTCGAAACTTGGAAAACTCTTATTTTCGCAGGACAGTGAAATAATTGTGTCTTTTAAGAGCTCATTAGAAGAAAAACAAAGCACAAAGGCAGTTAAAAACGCTATGTGATTTGCAAAAATTGGTGATTTGCAAGAGCGCTACAGAAGCAAAACAAAATCCTTGTTTACCCTTTGTGTGTGTGAGAGAGAGAGGGGTGGAGGGAGGGAGAGAGGGACTCACATAGTGTCAGTTTAAGCGGTTTGCAGAGGATTGAATTCTCGGATTATTGGAATTTGCCCAGAGGTCAAGAGACTAACTTGTAAGTTCTTGCCTTAGAACCACAATTGACCCCAGAATTTATGTTGTCAAGTGAGACATTTGTTAAGTGAGTTTTGACCCATTTTGTGACCTTTCTTGACACGGTTGTTAAGTGAATCACTGCGGTTGTTGAGTTAGTAACCTGGCTGTTAAGTGAATGAATTTGGTTTCCACGTTGGCTTAGCTTGATGGAAGGTGGCCAAAGGTGATCCCTGACCCCAGGACACNTTTCCATTTTTCTACTTCCATTTTTTATGTGCTTTCGAAATGCCAGGTTGGCAGAAGCTGGGACAAGTAACCGGAGCTCACTCTGTTACATGACGCTAGGGATTCGAACCACTGAAATGCCGACCTTCTGATCGACAGACTCAGCATCTTAGCACTCTAGTCCATAGGGAATTTTAAAACGGTCACCCTCTACAAGCAAGATGCCTCTGGGATATGTTTCTGTATTTTGCTACGCTTCAGCCCTGACAGTCCAACTGAAACTCCATTAAGCAAAAACCCATTTAGTTGAAGCGGCGATTCTGTAAAATGGGCATAAGAATAATGGCTTACATATTGCCCACAATCCGCTATATTTTGTAGCTATCTCCTTATATTAAAGAAATAATTGTTCCTCCCTCTCTTCCTCCCTCTTTAAGCCTCATGCTTTTAAGATTACAGAAAAGGAATAACACATCAGTTAGGTATATTTATTTTGGTTTCATAATATTAGAGTTTTAACCCTTTCTTAGTCACCCAGAATTGCTGTTTCAATCTGGGCAACCATACAAATTGATTAAACAATTCAACGGCAATAAGGTGTGAACATAGCGTGACTTACTTCTGAGTATTTTATTCAGTTCATCCCGCTTTTCCATTTATGGAATATTTGGAATAATAAAGATGTAAAATAACATTTAACAGAATGAAAAAATTAAAACCCCAGTAAAATATCTTAATCGTTCTTATCTGCTGAAGGCTAATAGCAAGTATATGGCCAATTAATGAGTCATTTTCAACAAAAAAAAACCTGTCCTATATATATCATAATATTTGAGGAAGTCAAAAATTAACATAGGTAATTTCTCTTATGTTTAGATTCTAAGATGTTGAGGGATGTTTAAAGATTAACACCAGTATCTTAAATTAGTGTTTCTCTACCTCTCTACCTCACTTTAAGATGGTCGGACTTCAACTCCCAGAATTCCCATGCTGGCTGGGGAATTCTGGGAGTTGAAGTCTGACCATCTTAAAATGGCTGAGGTAGAGAAACACTGATTTAAATGGTGTCTAGAAAGCACTTTGGGAATTGCACTGGCAACAAAGACTGTTTTTACTGCCAAGCAATTTGCCTCATTGGGCAATTTGTCCTAACATTTAGCTAGCTTCTCTACCTCNGAAGAAAGAAAGACTAAGAAAGGAAGAAAGAAAAAGTTCTGTTTAATTATTTTTAAAATATTTTACGTAAATCCATTTGCTGCCTACAATGCTGTCAAACCAAATACATTTCTTCAAGACCTATGTGTACACTTTCATAAATTAATAATGCAAAACCTGAAGATTGTTAAATATAACAAGGAAAAGGAGTTGCTGTTTAATGCACTTCCTGTTGATATGTAAATAAAACTCCCAGAGGCATGGGAACAGGAACTCAGAAGAACAAGTTGCTGTAGTTGTTTTCAGGAAAAAACCCTATGTTGTTGTTTGTTTCTTTTATTTTAGAAATGTTATGGCATCAGAGTGTAGGGGTGCCATGGTGGGTTTTATGGTAATTCCTGCCACTCCTAGATTTTTTCTTTTCCTCTTTAGGAGAAATCTGTCTCTTCAAATGTGATGATGTACTGAAGCCAAGAAACTTGCCTTAATTATTTAAGCCCTATAGTGGTAGCCTTCATTAGAGTGGTGTGGTGGCCTAATGGTGAAGATGCTTGCCTTCCACTCAGAAGATTGAGAGTTCAATCCTAGGTAGTGACAGGTGCTTCTCTCCTAAGGCACAAAGAAAATATATCTGCTGCAAACTCTGCATGGTGTCAGGAAGGGCATCCAGTCAGTAAATACTCATTTCCATCTAGTTTACCCTAAATTAAGGGATTACAGAGACTTTAAAAGGGAGTTTTTTCATGCTGGCCTTCATCAGTCTAAACCTTCTAGATCAGTGTTTCTCAACCTTGGCTACTTGAAGATGTCTGGACTTCAACTGCTGGGGAATTCTGGGAGTTGAAGTCCAGACATCTTCAAGTGGCCAAGGTTGAGAAACACTGATCTAGATACTTTCAGTAACTTTCACTATGCTAAGCTAACATGGGAAAAGAATATACTTGCTGTGGTGAAGCTGTAGCCAAATATACTAGAAGGAACCACAACAGAGGTCTAATCATTTTAACTATTGTTTTGTATTTGAAATGACTCTCAGGTTTATTTTATTTTTAAATCATTATTTTATTGCAGAAATATAATATTGGGATTCGGTTTTTTTTAATTAAAAGGCTGTGTGGACAAGTGGTACATAAACCATTTGTATAATTTGTGATGCAACCTATGTGTTGGATAGTATGATAGTTTGTTTATTTAAAGTAGAAAGTAATAGGTCTACCAATTTCCTGTTTTTAAGAATGAAAAAAATGATGTAGAAAATTTCTAAATAAAATTTGGCTTACAGCTTTTGTGTGATCTTACCAAACAAATAATAGTGTCCTGTAACTAATTGCACCCTTAGGTTAACCGGTTCAACAACATCTGTGTGAACAGAATTTTTAAAGGACAAACACATCCACCAGTTCTGTTCTGCAACACTATTACTGCAATGTCCTGCTTTTAAGATGGGCTCTTCAGAGAATAGGAAGTAGACTGATAAGACAAGCAGACAGCTTCTTGGTTCAGACAAAGCATACTAAATAGGCACCCCGTTATCTAAATCATAGGCCAACATGGCTGAGGTAAGTGTTAAAGGATGAATACTTTCCTTTTCATCTTTTTTGTTCTTCTCTCACAGCGGGCCCTAAAAATCCTCTCGGGGGGATGATTTTTGGGGGGTACCACAATAGTGATAGTTTATTCTGTTTACAGAGGGAACAAGAAAAGCTTTGGATTGTCTTCTCAGGTGCTGTTGGGTTGGTTTTAAGAACTAGTGCTGAAAAATGTCTCCTAGATGTTTACCTACCCTTTTACCTATATAGAGTAAACATTCCTGAGCAGGGTTGGTTATTGAAATACATCATTATATAGTTTTCTAGGAAGTTTATATTCAAGATTGTTATGAAATCACGGTCAAATGAGAAGGACAAAGTCCAGATTAACAGTTGCCTAGGAACTATGTAGCACCATGGCCTTGAGTATAGATAGGTAAATCATTAAACTAAAGTTCCTTTGCGAAATCCCCAGGAAACACTACGTAAGAAATTCTTTCTCCATCCTAGCTTAGCTTCCTATTTGTGATGTTTTTCTCACAAAGTGCTGTGCGTGTGAATTAGATAATGACTGACAATGACTTTGTGCCTTCAAGTATACTACAGGTGGATCAGTCCCAGGACATGGGAAGAACAGAATAGATCCAACATATGCTTGCATATTATGTTAAGGTCTGCTTTGCTTAAACATGATTTACTGAACAATAAGCCCAGAGTTAGTTGAGATTTTATGACACTCTAAATGATGTTGTCTGTGTTCAAGCCAACAGTCCATGTTACAGCATAGTAAAGAAATCCTTGTGTGACCTGTGGTCTCATTTTAAATAATCACAATAAAGGTAGTAGCTAATTGTAGTTCTTATACAAGAAGTTACTGCCTCTCAGATAATGGTCCTCTCTTCATATCTATTCATTTATGGAAGTGGTACGGTCAAGGGAAAGACATGAATTTAATGCCTGGGGCAATTCTATTTTCATATTTATTTCAGGAGGAAAATGACGAGTTCAATTTTAACATGTGGTACCATTTCATCCTATGGTTAATCGTCATCTTTATATGGTGGAAATGGAGAGATGGGGAGAATTTAGATGACGTAGATCCCGAAGGGAAATACATATTCATCACCGGTTGTGACTCCGGATTTGGGAAACTGGCAGCTTTGACCTTTGATAGGCGCGGATTTCAAGTGATTGCTGGTTGCCTAACTGAAAGGGGGGCAAAGGAGCTGAAAGAGGAGTCGACGGCTAACCTCCAAACAGTGCAGCTGGATGTGACAAACTCAGACAACATCAAGCAAGTAGCAGAACAAGTTAAGAAAGAAGTAGGACAACGGGGTAAGCAATTAAGTCCTGTTGCTGGATGTTTCTCTCTGCTTACTAAATAGAGAGTTTAGAAGTGAGCCTCAGCTCTTTTGTGGGATGGATATCAATGGGGTTATCTTTGCTTCATCTGCCGATTCCCAATTATGTCAAAGTCCATGCTGGTTGGGAATGATAGGAGGTGGAGGGAGTAAGGAAGGAGTAAGGTGATGGAATTTATTTTACTGCTTTTGTTAGACTTTCCCCCCAGGAAAGGCTGAAGTAGGGCTGTTGTTGGCCAGTTTTATGACAATACGTGGCAGATAAAGGTTCCCCACGCACATACGTGCTAGTCCTTCCCAACTCTAGCGGGCAGTACTCATGTCTGTTTCAAAGCGAAAGAGCTAATGCTGTCCAAAGACCTCTCCATAGTCATGTGGCCGGCATGACTAAACACCAAAGGCACACAGAACACTGTTACCTTCCCACCAAAGGTGGTTTCCATTTTTCTACTTCCATTTTTTATGTGCTTTCGAAATGCCAGGTTGGCAGAAGCTGGGACAAGTAACCGGAGCTCACTCTGTTACATGACGCTAGGGATTCGAACCACTGAAATGCCGACCTTCTGAT